GGTGTGGAACAACTAGGACTTTTGTACACTGCTGCTTGGAGTATAACGTTGAAAACTCGCTTTTCAGCATTTTGGCAATTTCCTGCAATGTTTAACTTGACCTTATGACCCAGCAATTTTACTCCTAGGTGTTTACCCAAAACAAATAAAAACCTAAGTCCACAGAGAAACTTGTACAATAATATGTCCGGCAACTGTGTTCAAAATATCTAAAAACTGGAAATAACCCAAATGTCCATCAACAAAAATTAAATAAATTATAGAATATTCATATAATAGAATACTATTTAACAATAAAAAGAATGAACTAGGACACACAACGACATGGTTGAGTATCAAAAATACAGTGTTAAGTAAATAAAGAGTACGTGCTGTGTGATTTCTCTTGCTGTGTTTGAAATCTAAATTCAGAGAAAGTTAATCTTCTATTGAAATTATAGAAATCAAATAGTGGCTTCTTGGGGAGAGATGAGAAGGGAAGGATGGAGACTGGACTGGAAGGAGCATGAGGGAACTCCCTGGGGGAAGACAAATGCTTTGCATATTATTTGGGGTAGTAGTACACATATTATACAATTGTCTAAAACTCACAGTCTGAACATGTGATACCAGTACATCTTATTTTGTAATAGTTCTATCTTAGTTAAAAAAAATCTAGGTCACTGAAAATGTAGCATTCACTCACCCTTCCTGAAAATAAAACCTACAAATAAAAACACGTATTTCTATTATCTGTGGAATCAGTCAAAATTAATACAATGGCTGAAATACTGGTTAGAAAAAAGCTTATTAGTGAGCAATAAAAAAACTATAGGTGAAAATAAATGTGCTTAGATTTTTAAATCAGTTTACTAATTTCTGTAAAAGACAATTAAAGTGATAAAATTAATGCTTAAATTGTGGCCAAAAATTCTGAAAAGTCAATGGGAAAAGATAATGCAGTGGTGAATTTAAAGAAAACGACATTATTTTAGCCTTAACTGCAGACAAAGCCAATATTACTCTCAAATACCATATTTTTACATTTAAAGTACTTATTGTAGACTCTAGTGAATGTCTTTTCAATTAAGCTCGTGGTTCATAAAATTGGCTTTGAAAATAAAACTGATGTGGTTGCACTTATTTCTCACACTGAGAAGTAATATAGTGCTCACTGAAACGTGTATTTCTATCTATTGAGTAGATAGAGCTAAGGTTTAAAAAAAGGCAGCGTATAGCTTTATGCAATTAGCTTAGGAAGCAAAATTAAATTACAATTCATCATCTCTCACTCAGGTAAGCTCTACATGTATACTTAAGGTTACCTGTTTGGAAGTCAGGATTGTATGTTATGTTTAAAAACAAGATAGAGATCTGTGGAGTTTGTCATTCTAGTCACTTGCTTGGGAGTAAACATGAGTTAAAAGGAGCTGGAAGTCCATTCAAGAGGGAAAATATTGCACCGTGTATAACTCATGTACCTCTCTCTAGAGGAAAAGCTAAGCTGCTACCTGGAGGTGTGTTTTCCAGTGATAAGCAAATATGCAGTGATAAGCTCTGTGTAGAAATGGGATATTGTATAGAAAGTTGATTGAGTGGAGAGTGTCACTCAGTGTAATCTCTTGAAATGCACTATAATTATTTGGATCTTTCCAGCTTCCCACTTTGGCCACTTAATTCTCTGAACTTCCACTACATGAAGAGACTAGAACTTGATTAGAAATAAATGGAATGACTCTTAATGAGCAAGTGGATGAATAAATTGTGGTAAATCCCTACAAGGGACTATTAGAAAGTGAATGAGTAGAGTTAATTAGTTCCATATTGACATTGTGCACTATTTATGATATACTATGTAAGAAAAAAGCAAGATTCAGGATAATGTGCATTATAATAATATATTTTGACAAAAACGAAGCACAAGGACAAAAATTCCAATACAGATCTAAAAACAGTCCAACAAACAAATGTCATACTAGAAGAACTAGTAATGTTGTTTGGATTTAAGAGGAAAAACTTGAAGGATCTGTTCATAATGCACACGGCAACTGCTATAAGGAAATAGCTCAAGAATGCATAGACTATGAAAGAAAAACCAGGAAAGATGAGTTAGCATGGCTAGATGGAGGGATGGATGGAGGGAGGGAGGGAGGGGGGGAGGGATGGATGGATGGATGGATGGATGGATGGATGGATGGATAGATGGATGGATACATGAATGAAAGGATGGATGGATGAATGGATGGATGGATGGATGGATGGATGGATGGATGGATGAATGCATGGATGGAAATGAGGGGGACAAAATAAAGGGAAGAAGGAAAAGTATTTGTCTTCAACAATCCAAAGACACTGTTCCTTTATATTCCCAGTATCTTATGCTTTTAATAATAATTCTATTGCTGAAATAACTTTTTTCCTCTTCATCCTTAGTATTCTCATATTTCATAATCAGGATCTAGATGTCAGTCTTATCTATTTTTTAAAAATAACTGTTTTCTTTCAGCTCAGAAAAATATTTTTATATTGCTTCTTAGATAATTTAGAACCCTCAACTCCCCATGTTATTTCTTTCTGGCATTACTACTTGCTGGCTGTTGTACCTCCTTGATATATCCTTTATGTCTCTTATTATTTCTTTACAACTTTCTGTCTTCTTTTTTTGTTGTTCTACGTTTTAAGAATTTCTTCACTTTTGTCTCTTTTAATTAAAATGATTCTTTCATACACTTTGTTCCATTTTATAGCATCCTGTTCTTGCCTTGTGGATACAAGATCTCTGTAAATTAGTATTTCTAAGTTCTCTTCTGTGCCCTGAATTATGTATCTCTCTCTCTCTCTCTCTCTCACACACACACACACACACACAGACACACACACACACACGCACACAGAGACAGAGAGAGAGAGAGAGAGAGAGATTATATTATCCTAAAACAAAAGACTAGGAGTTGGAACTAGGAGTTCTAACTAGGAGTTAGAAAAGAGAGATGTCCATAGATTTCTGGAAGATAGGTAACATATTATTAGGTTGGTGCAAAAGTAATTGCAGTTTTTGCATTACTTTATTACAAAAATCATAGTTACTTTTGCACCAACCTAATAAAAAGTGATGATGACCAAGGAATAGGTGAGAAAAAAGGAAGAAAATTTCCATCTTAGAATGGATGCTGAGGAATGTATGTGGCAGAAGAAGCCAACTGATCTGGTGAAAACGGGTTGCAGTTCTATTACCTAGATGACTCCAGGTAATTCAGAACTTTCACTATTGTTTATGAGATGAAATATACAAGGGTATTAATACATATAGTTTAAAGAATTGGGCGTGTTTCCATCACCCAGTTTTAAAATTACTCATATTTTAGAACCTTCCCTGTGTGTCTCTTTCACATCACATCCCTCTCTCATTCCTGACATTGATTTGTGTGTGAATCATTTTTGTCTTCCAGTTTTTAAAGGTTTTTCTATGTATCTGTAAATACATGTATCAGATATGATTTTTATATAATTTTATATGATACACGTTATGTACACATATAACTTAGTTTTGTTTGGTTTTGAACTTACATAAATACAATTTTGCTATAAGTATTCTTCTAAGACTTCTGCATTCAACATTGTGTTTTTGAGGTTATCCATGTTGAGGCATTTAACTTTTATGTATTTATTCATTTTTCATGGCTGAATTTTATTTCATTGGGTGACTATATTACTATTTATTGATTCAGTTTACTTTAACCAAAATTAGGTGGTTTTCAACTTGAGGTTAATCTGAATCATGATGTTGTGAACATTCTTATACACATTCTATTACATGAGTACTGTACACAATTGTTTCTTGAAATAGATTATTGTATTACAGAAATGCATAGGTTCTGTACCATACTAGATGCTAAACTGGTTTCCAAAGTTCTTGTACTGTTTATTACACCCCAACGAACAGTGGATGGAAGTCTTAGTTCCCCTACATCTTAATCATTTTCAAACATTTAAAAACTTACCAAAATGGCAGTATACAATGGTGTTCCATTTTGGTTTTAATTTTAACTCTTATTACTACAAATACATTTTAAGATTATTTTATGTATTTTGAGCCATCTGCATTTTTTTTTTTTTTTTGGCTGTGAAAATTTTTGTTTATGCCACCTGACCATTTCTCCCCAAAATTTTGAGTTTTTTGCCTTGTGGATACAAGATCTCTGTAAATTAGTATTTCTAAATTCTCTTCTGTGCCCTGAATTATGTATCTCTCTCTCTCTCTCTCTCTCTCTCTCTCACACACACACACACACACACACACACACAGACACACACACACACACAGAGAGACAGAGAGAGAGAGAGAGAGAGATTATATTATCCTAAAACAAAAGACTAGGAGTTGGAACTAGGAGTTGCAAAAGAGGCTATCAGTTTGCTCATGATCTTTGATACCCACGAACAGTCATATTTGTTATTTATGAAATTTCCATATGGTCCTTCACATTTATTGGTTCCCTTCTAGTTATATGGAATCACATGGCTAATTTATGAGGAAAGGCCTATGACGGGTCACTTCTAAGCCAAAGAATTTACAAGCTGGCACATGACCCTCTCATTCTTGCTATCCATGCCACAGTGACAAAACAAGCCACAGGGTTCTCAAAAGTACAACTACAAGGCCAGGAAGGCTCTGTTTGTCTGGATCCCTGAGTGATTCTGAGGAACGGAGCACATACCCACACCCACTCACTCCAGACAACTTACACTGGATTTGTACCCTGAGAAATGTGAGGGGTAATTTGTTACTACTGCATAGTCTAGTCTAACACTGACTATACTTGCTATTTTATGAATCAAATTTCCAGGCAGGCAGAAGTTTGTTTTGAGCTCTATACTATATTTCATAGGACCGTTTGTCTATTCCAGCACGAACTATCTCAATTAGTATAATAATAATATTTTTCACTTTCAGTAGAAAAAAGTCTCTATAACTTGTAAACAGGAGTGTTTCATTTATTTTTACCTTTTCATTCTTTTAGATAACTTTAGAATCATCTTTTCAAGCTTCATGCCTAAAAATCCCTACTGAGATTTTGCTTGCAATCGCATTAAATATACAAATCAATTTGGTGAGAATTTACATCTTTTCTCTACTGAATCCTTCATTTAGCTATGTTGTATATTCTACACTTTATTTAGATTGTTAAAAAGTGTTTTTAAATATATTTTATTTTTCCATAAAGCATTTACACAACTTTTAGTATATCAATCCCTAAGTAGTTTATATTTTTATGTTTCTTTTTCTAGATGGCATATGTTAAAATTGCTTCATACAATTAATCACTATCTGTTTATGAATATTCAATTAATTTTATATTTAGATTTGTATCCGACTACCTTATTAATTCTCTTATTTTTTCTAATATTTAACTGAACTTTCTTTTCGATGTATAATACAGACAATTGTATCATCTATGAATAATGAAAATTTTATTTTAGCCTTTCAGATATTTATCTTACCTGCTGATCCTCCCTAGATCTCTGGTATAATCATGAAAAGAAATTACTATAGCAGGCATTTTTTCTTGCTCTTAATCTTACAAGAAATGCTTTCAATCTACCACCATTAAGTAGGCTATACATTTTGGTACAGATCCTTTATCAGGTTAAGAATGTTCCCTTCCATTGCTAGTTTGCCAAGAGATTGTTTTCTGTTTTGTTTTCATTAATGAATGGTAATTTTTGTCAGATGATTTTTCTGCATCTATTGAGATGATCAGATATTTTTTCTTCTTTAATTTGCTAATTAAATAAATCACATTGATAAGTTATCTAATGTCAGACTGAGATAAGCAAACCTGGCAATGATAAATATTATAATTTTTATATTTTGCTGGATTTGGTTCATTAATATCTAGTTGAAGGTTTTCATATCTGTGCTAGCAAGTAAAATTACCCTGTAACATTTGTGTTTTTGTCAGAATTTGGTATCAAGGTTACTTTGTTTCATCCATGAGTAGGATAGCATTTCTGCTTTTAATATACTCTGGTATAGATTGTATAATACCCCAACTATTTATCCTAAGAATGTCTATGAGACCGCACAGAAAATTTGGGGCTAGTGCTTTCTGTGTGGGAATATTTTTAGCTTCAAACGAAATAAATCTTTTGAAGTTTCTAGCTATATCCAAGTTTTCCTTTGACAGTTCTTCGAAATTACCAATTTCAGCTAAGTTTTCAAATTAACTGGCATATATTATTTTATATTCTATAACAGGCCATTTTTCTTCTATCTGCTGATTTTCATCAGTGGTATCACCTTTCCTTGTGCGTTGTGAATTTTTGAACTGTGAGCTACTAATTTTTATTTGAAATTTAATCTCTGTGAATTTTTTAATGTGAGTTTGAATTCAAGGTTTTAAAAAAGGATATGCATTTTCATCTGCCAGGTGCCAAAGGTATTACCAAATTGCTACCACTTACATTAGAAGATCTGAGTGACATTTTCTAGACTGCACAGGCAGTGTAAAAATGAACTAAAACCCACTTCAGAGCTGGCTTATGATTACATATATTTAGAAGAGACTTTTTCCCTCCATTCAGCACTAAGGTTAAAAACCACAAGCTTTACTGATGTTTCTTTCTGCACAGAGAGATTTTCTTTCCTAGTTCACCTTATCTCCAGGGGCATAGCCCTTAAGGATCCAAGCATTGTGCAGTCCTACGAGACTTTCACTTTGGGTGGGCCCTAAAATTAACCTCCCATACTCTGTATCCAAAGAGCTAATCAAAAGCTCAAGTTCCCCCACGCTTCTTAGAATCCTTAAGGAAGTTCCAGCTGCAGTGTTTACCTGAGTTATAGGATTCTGCTTTCACTTCTATGTGGAGGCTGCAGATTGCAGATTCTTTTTTGCCTAATGCTGGCTCAATGAAGCACTTACATAATTTTTTTAAAAAAATATTCCATCCAACATTTTCATTGCTTCAGTTAGAAGAGTTATTTAGTGTATCTAATCTAATCTGGTAAATTGCCCAACCCACTTCTTTAATCCTTATTGAATAAATCAGTGCTGCCAAAGAACTTTCTGTGATTATAACTGACCAGTTTGGAAGTCACCAGCCACAGGCGGCAATTGAGCAATTGAAATGTGACTCGTGATTTTAGAAGTGTACTTTTATTTTCACTTAATTTTAATTTATTTAAATAGCCACTTGTGGCTAATGGTTACCTTCTAGAACCGTGCAGAAATAGACCTTCATTCACCCATTGATGGTGCTGACACATAATGTTCCTGTGAGGTAAAACTTATAATTCCATATAAAAGAGGAGAGGAGATGCTTGGCTACACAATTCAGAATGGCATAGCCAAGGAAAGTCATATAAAAGAATGTTTAAGGGAGAGCCAGTCTTCATCGAGCCTCATTTTCTTTTTTGTAAGAGAAGAATTTCTGGATGTGTGGCATCTACCTGGACACATCACAACAAAGGATTAGCATAGGTTGTGGGATTGCATAAGCCAAAAACAGAAACAGAGCGTAGGAAATGGCAGGAGGCACTCCCCAAATGGCTTCATTAGAATAAATCTTATCTCCGCGGCCCTGGCCTTACCTACTAGCCCTAATGAGCCTGCTCTGACTCATACTGGCTTCCTTTCATGCCCAGACCCATAAATACTTACACCTGAGCTCTCATCATGGAGTCTCTTCCTTGTTATCTGTGGCATCTAATCTTTCCTTGGAACCTCTGGGAATCAGCCATTCAGCAGTAGGCCCATTCACAGAGGGTCTCCTCCCAAAGCTGCTGCAACCAAACACACAAAATGTCTATTTCCTTAAGGAATGAGGATGAGTGTTTACACTGCATCTCTTTGTAGAGTTATGTTCTGCATAGGATAGGCACGGTTGTATGAAAAGAGCCCTGGGCTTAGGGTCAGGAGAAACCAGTTCTAACCCCATCTCTGCCATTAGCCAGTTGCTGGTGCAAGTCACATGGCTGTCCTGGGTACAGTTTCTGCCACTGCAAAAGAAGAGTGTTCAGCTCCATCAAAATAGAAATCCCTCTCCTGGAGTCTAAATGGGAAGATTGAGTTACTCAAAACTGACATATATAAACAGGTAGGAGATTGGACAGGTAACGACTTTTCTGTTTCTATGCTGCTAGGTCCTTGTAACAGGTCAATCTCATTAGAAGGAAAAGCAACCTCAAACTGGTAACTGGGGACTTAATGATGAAAGTGGTACTAAATGGGGACTTTGGGGACAATCTGGTGTCCATATTACACGATTAATCACGATGCACCATAGGACTTTCCTCACTGGCATGGAGAGAAAGGTATCATTAACCTGGCAGGCCTGGTGCGGATTCCATGGGCCCAGGGCTCCTCTTTTTGTTCCATCCGGAGCTTTTCAACCTGGCCATGGAGGGTGGTAGTTTTGAGCCCCCAGTGTCACTATAGGATCTTTCTTCCATAGCAATCATTATTACTCCATTTCTTTTAGTTCCTCTGCACTCCATCCTGAATGACCAGTTTTCTAGTTTAGGGAAAATTAAACACTTACTGTTTCCAAGAGTATTTCTGGGTCATTTCCTGGGATTTTTGTCCTCTCTTTAAGGATAATGTTTTATTTCCCATTAATATGCATTTCACTTCTATAAATGGAAACTCCTTCCACCCATGGACTGTCTGAAAAGTTGGAAGCCACCGGATAGACTTATTTTAAAATAACATGTCAGTTATATTTTCAAATAGTAGGCACTAAATTTAAAATTGTGTATTTGTTGGTTGGAAAAAAGTACAATAAACACACCATAAGGTACCCCAAAGTCTAGAAACATAGGTGAAATCATATACATACTATATATTATACAGATGGGGAAATTGAGTTTCAGAGTGGCTAAAAGCTCAGGGTTGGTAGGTAACAGATCAGATCCAGAATTCAAGCCTGTCTTCAAAGCTATGTAACTTGTCCCACATTAGGTGTAAACATCTCAAATCAGAAACAGCCCCCTAACACATGTATATGTGTTTTCTCATTGGGAGCCTATAAATAACGGTCCAACATACCAACCAATCACCTTGAGAGTGATTGAATGAAGTTGAGATGCTTTCTTTAAATACATTTTACTGTATATATTTGAGGTTTACAACATGATGCTATGGGATACATATAGATAATATGGTTACTTACTGGAGTAGACTAACATATCTATCTATCATATCTCATAGTTATTTTTGTATGTGTGACAAGAGCAGCTAAAATCTACTTATTTAACAAGAATGCCTAATACAATACAATTTTATTAACTTTAATTCTCAGGTAGTATATGAGATCTCTAACTTGCTTGTCCTACATAGATGCTTTCAATGCACAATGGAAGAATTAAACTAAGTTTTGGCTACTTCAAGATGTAAAAAACAAATTATCTTTTTATTATTTTATTTTTATTTTTATTTTTGTTCCTGAGACAGAATCTGACTCTGTTGCCCAGGTTGGAGTGCAATGGTGCAGTCTCAGCTTACTTCAACCTCCACCTCCCAGGTCCAAGCAATTCTCTTGGCTCAGCCTCTGGAGTAGCTGGGATCACAGGTGTGCACCACCACTCCCAGCTAATTTTTGCATTTTTTTTTAGTAGAGATAGAGTTTCACCATGTTGGCCAAGCTGGTCTTGAACTCCTGACCTCAGGTGATCCACCTGCCTCAGGCTCACAAAGTGCTGGGATTACAGGCGTGAGCCACCATGCCTGGCCTCTTTTCATTGTCTTTTCTAAAGAATTTTCTGAAAACATTCGTTTACCTTTCAAAAGGAAACATTTTCATCCTAAAGCCAATTCTATGTACCATGAACTTGTCTTCGTTCTATGGCCTTACATGTATGTGCATGTCCTCTACCTAAGGAAGAAATTACACATACATTACATGTACATGCAATGTCCTCTACCTGAGGAAGAAATCTAGTCACAGGGTGCAGTCATGTCTAACTTGTTTATCCAATGCGTGGCACAGTCCCCTCAGCAGCTATGATGACATAGCCTTAAGGAATCATCAAATGTTTGGGCTGAACAGGACCTTATCATAGGCTATTCCAACCTCCCCACTTCACAGATTAGTAAATTGAGGCCCATTTATTGATTTGGCACTCGCCTACCATGTGCCTTCAATGGGTGAGAAAAAGATGAATTCACCTCAAGACATCTACTGACACCCCATGACAGATTTGGAATAATCATATCAATAGTTGAGACAATGGTGATGAGAATGCTTAGGATTTAAGTATAATAGCACACATTCGACATGATTTATGAAGGTATTGATGGCAAGAGGTTTCGTGAATACAAACTCAGTGAGTACCAAGGTAATGTTTGTAAATACGAAGATCTGAGGACTTCAGAGAAATATTTCAAAGCTTATACAGCAATGCCATTTAAGTTGGAGAGACATGACTTGGTGGAATAGTTGAGCATTTAACAAAGTATTATCGAGATAAAGGCAAGCTGTGGGGCGGCCTGGTGTCCAAAAGGTACAAGGTGGAGCACATGAGGCTCTCCAGCCTTCAGACATCAAAAAGACATTTCTGCTCTGGGTGGAACCAGTTTCTCCGGACTCATATCTTTCTCTCCTCCATTCTGCTCTGCAAGTGCAATCTAAGGGCACTCTTACCTAAACAGATACTGAATTACAAATGAAATCAGTCGTTCTTGGCAAATCAAGGAGGTTAAGGGGAAAAATAAACTTTGTTCTACGTCACCTCCCTGACAAGTCAGCAAGCCCGCGGATAAGAACAACAGAGCACTGATGAGTGTAATGAAAACTCCCAAGTTTGTTCTAGAAATGACTGGAGGAGACACCACAGGCCACCGTGCTCCCAGGACATCACCAATTCTTCCAAGGGATGCTTGGCCTCTGGGGAAGTCCAATTACCCTTCAAGGATAATGTGGTTATAAAGAGCCTAAGATGCTTTGGAGGGCGTGTGAGGTAGGACCACTAAGACCGATTTAATGGAGGTCTGGAAGTCTAAGTCACAACGTTGATTCAAGGATACTGGAGCAGTGTCACAGGTAGGGGTGTACCTTCCTTGAAGTAGCCCCTGAGTATGTTGGAGATCAAAGGTGGATAGAGACTCATAGAAGAGCAAATGAAAGATAAAATTGTATTATTACACTCTCCATGACACTTGGAGAGAACAATTAGCCAACAGCACTGAGGAACTGGCACTCTCAGCACAAATGTCACCAGCCTCCATATTACAGGTCAGCTGATTTCGTGAGGATGTTGGCAGGCTCCAGGCCCAAGGCAGTAGTGGCCATGCCCTAGGATAGTTAGGGATTCATTAGAACAAGGAGTCAAAGCAGAGTGACTCCTTTTTCCCTTCTTCACTGGGAAAGAAATGTGGAGTGCTTGTTCTCCTGTGTCCCCTTCTCTAAGACAAGAGGATTTACTTGCAGAATGTATGTAAGAAACCTGCAGGGACATCCCAAAAAGATTCAGAAGGAATTTGAGAGAGGTTGTCCTTCTTGCAGAGCATTTGGTGCTGGTGCAATTTCTAAAATCCAGGTTAAGTTAAAAACAAAAAGGCCAGGCATGGTGGCTCATGCCTGTAATCCCAGCACTTCGGGAGGCCGAGGCAGGTGGATTACAAGGTCAGGAGATGGAGACCATCCTAGCTAACATGGTGAAACCCCATCTCAACTAAAAAAGAAAAAAAAATACAAAAACTTAGCCGGGCACAGTGGCATGTGCCACCATGGGACTACTCCTGAGTAGTCCCAGCTAGTCAGGAGGCTGAGGCAGGAGAATCGCTTGAACCCGGGAGGCAGAGGTTGCAATGAGCCGAGATCACACCACAGCACTCCAGCCTGGGCAACAGAGCGAGACTCTGTCTCAAAACAAACAAATAAACAAACAAAAACCTGTTTCTTTTTGTTCATTATTATTGAATGAATGTCCTTGTGGAATTCAACTACTTGATATATTACTACTACTTGGTATATTACTACTACTTGGTATATTACAATATATGGTTTCCACCTTTCTAGTTTTCTTGTGGGTCCTCTGACATCTTCTTTGTGTACTACCATGAACATTTCCTCACAAGATAGCACCAGTCGAGATGAGAACAATAACTTCTTTGAATGGAACAATGTCTGTGGATTCTGAAAATAACATACAGCAATTTCTACTGCACTGAGACAATTGCCAAGAAGAGGTTCTAGAAGACGTAATTTATTCTATCTGTGGTTGTCAAAACACATCTGCTGCCCTTTACACATTTTACTTAAAAGATCACCTCTATGAATATTGCATTCACTACACACTGATGAGGGTTGGCCTTTATGTGACTATAAATATATGTATGTTTGGGTGAATATATGCCACGTTTGTATTCTTGTTTATTTTGTTCTACAGCGAGTGTATTTATTCAGGCAGTCTCCAACACACACAACTGATATACATATGAATAAGACACAGGGGAGTTTAGGTGTAGAATGCCACACCTTCTTGCTCCAATTCAGGACACCGATGGAGTTACCAAAGTAGGGAGGCTCTAGGCCTTACCTAGAGAGAATTAACAACTGATTAGTGTTCATTAGTATCATTCTCACCCTTATGCTGTAGAGTAGGAGGGATCGCCTCTTATACTTTCAGATAAAACTGTGTGTGCTGCTTTTGTTCACAGGATGCGATCCTGGGCAAGTAGCTTCACCTCTCTGGGCTCAGTTTTCTGATTCATAAGAGAAGAATAACAGTATCTGCTTTTTTCTCCCTCATAGGATGATTGTAATATATCATTATATAAAATGAAAAATTACAATGCAAAAATATTTCTCTTTTATTACAATTACCCTTTTTTAACAAAACAGTATCAATTGAAAACTCAATGGAACCCTTAAGAAGAGTCCCTCTCAAAAACTAAAGTATTGTAATGCTGAATTCCAAAGGAATTTATTAACAGTCTTTAGGATCAAAGCTGTCTCAATAGCTACAGGCAGTCTGCGTGGGATATTTTGTGTCGCCAGAAGGAGGAGCTTTGCTTTTGGGAATCTATCCCATGTTAGTAACAGAAGCAGGACTGTTAGAGGTATAGTGTTTCCTGAGACCCAAGGCAGAGACCCTCTTTTTCTGTAATCTGGGCTATTCAAAATTCAATGTGATGCACACCATAATTTATTGTTCTATGGTTTGGAGGATAAAAAAATCATATGTCAGAGTTTTCTCACCTGAAAAGTAAACACTGAAAAAGAAATGTAACTGGAAAAAAAAAAAAAAAAAACTCATACACTTAATTTGTTTAGAGTGCAGATTTCATGTTCTATGTTTTTCACTAGAATTTAAGATGAAATTAACCAAAGTTTGTTCCCATAGGCACTGATTTCGCCAGCACATCAGAGATGCCCTTTGGCCCCTTAGCTGATTGCAAGAGGTCCTTCATCAGATGAGCTTCTGGCAAGAGAAAAATAAAAATTTTAGGACCTTTACCTGTTATAGACCCCAGGGGCCAGACAACTAATTTCTATTCATCTAAGTGTTTCGTCTGTTCTCTTTGTGGCTCTGGGAACCAAGAACTCTCATCTGTCACCATGAAGCAGGTGGTTGCTGGGGATGAGGCTGATAGGAGCCCCACCCCTTCCATGAAACAAGTTGAGCCCGTGTGAACAGGGCTAAGGATGGGGAATGCCAGCAGTCACATCTGGGTGCTAGTTCAAGTTTCTGCCCCACCCCATCCGAAGTAAACAGAGGAAGGGGTGGCAGCATTTTACCAACTGAAAGTGAGGCTCAAGTATTTGTAAATGTCAGAAATCAAAAGATTAACACTTAGGAAAATGTTATATTTGCCAAAAAAAAAAAAACCTAAGGATGCTATACAATTCTACTTTTTTAAAAAATCAACCAAAAATTGTTCTCATATGCACCAAAAATGAGCATTCAAGAAAAATATTCTGAATTGGTTTCATGTTATTTTACTGGTGTTTGGATTGTTCATGACACTACCCAGGTGGAATCATATGTAGACTCTTACATGCATGCCATTTGGTATTAGATGAAATAGTCACATTAGTAATAATTCTATACTTAGAAATTCATGTCTCATAATTTTTTTGAGTACCCAAGTGTAAGTGCTTTGGAAAAATCAATGACTTTTAAAACATTTTGGTTTTTTTCATTGTTGTTTGTTTTTGTGTGTGGTTTTTTTTTTTTTTTTTTTTTTTTTTTGAGACGGAGTTTTGCTCTTGTTGCCCCAGCTGGAGTGCAATGGCACGATCTCTGCTCACTGCAAACTCTCCCTCCCTGGTTCAAGCTATTCTCCTGTCTCAGCCTCCTGAGTAGCTGGGATTACAGGCACCTGCCACCATGGCCAGCTAATTTTTTGTATTTTTAGTGGGACACAGGGTTTCACCATGTTAGCCAGGCTGGTCTCGAACTCCTGACCTCAGGTGATCCATCTGCCTTGGCCTCTCAAAGTGCTGAGATTACAGGCATGAGCCACCATGCCCAGCCAAAAGTTTTAACTTTGTAAAATTAAATTTCTCTTCAGAAATTACACAATAAATGTATTCAGGCTCACTGGTACAAAGATATATTAGGAAAAATTTAATAGGTAGATCCTTATTTCCAAGGTAGCCAGAGAATTATTTCACATATTTCTCCATGACTCAACAAATGTGTGTCATGTTTTGTAATGTTTCTACAAAATAAGTTTGTATTATTTACATTACTCCTCAAACTTCTCATCTCACTTAGCAATCATTCTTGAGTATTCCTCCAAGTAAATCTTGAAGATCTAATTATTCCATATTATACCTGCAAAATGTTTCATTCTATGGATGTAACACAATTTGGCCAATCCTTGCACAGCTGATGGACATTCAGTCTGTGTCCAGGTATTTTGTTTTGTTTTGTTTGTGACTCTTTATTTTTCTACTACAAACAGTCTTATGACACCTTGCTAAATTTGATACACATATCTTTGAGTCCTGCCACGGTTACTAACATGGGATTGATTTCCAAAAGCAAAATGGTTGGGTAAAAGGGCACATGCATTCTTAGTTTACCAATTATTGATTGTTTGTTTTCTAAATGCTGTAGCAATTTATACACCCACCATCTTCTCTTTATGCCAGGAACACTCAAATTGTTCTCTTCTGGCTATTTTGAAACATACAATACATTATTGTTAAATTATTCTATATTTTAAATAGAAAAGCTTGTACATGCTTATTGCAAAGACTTTTTTTAAAACTAAAAGTCAACTGACAGCTATCCAAATGACAAAAATGTTAAAGTACAACAACATTCAAAATTGAGCTTGAGTCATTGTTTATTCTTCCCATCAGATTTTAATTACTCTAACAATTTTGTAATAGAACAGATGTAGAAAGGAACCAGCATCCCTTCCTAAATATTTTCCTGATCTTGCTCATATGCATTTGAGTCTTACAGATATGCTTCTAGCACATTAAACTTTTCACTTTTAATTTTTACTAAATATTAACAAGATAAGTACTTTTCCATTAAACGGCTGCTTAATATTTTATGATTTGGATCTATAAACTACTTAATAATTCACCTATTATTGAATGTCTAGGTTACCTCCTGGTTTAGTAATTAGAGGGAACTGTGAAGTGAAAATATTCACGAATGCAAAATAATTCTTTTTGAAATATTTTCTTTGGATAAATTTCCAAAAGCAGAATAGCATAAACATGTTAACAGGTGTTGAGGCATATTGCCAAATTATTTTCCAAATATGTTGCACCTACTTAGCTAGGCACAAGCAAAGAATTGGGTTTATGAATGGCATTTAAACACCTTTAAAGACCCAGAAATCATTATTTTTCATGAGTTTTTTGATACTTTAAAACAATTTTATGCTTCTAGAAACCAGTAGCTATTTGGGGGGAGATAGTGACTAGAAGGGGGAGCAAGCAGATTTTCCAAGGCCCCTGTCATTTTCTGTTTTTTACTGAGGAACTGATTCCTGGGTGTGTTTAATTCATGAAAACTAGAAGAGCAGGACACTGAGGATTTGAGCACTTTCTCTATGTATGTTATACTTCCATAAATGTTCAAGAAATACACCGCAGGAATTTCTTAGAAATGTCAGTCACGTTACTGAAAGATACAGGAACAACCTGGAACATTTTGCCAAGCATCTCTTTGGTCAGAATTAGATTTTTATTTATGCTGATACGTTCATATAAACCATCAAGGGTGTTCAAAAGCACCAACTATGTGTCTGTTAGAAAATTAACCGCAGTCCAAAGTGATGCAGCACCCTTTGTTTTCTAAACCTCAGCAGCAATCTGATTATGGCACCATTAGGAAAGCAAGATCTATCAACTTAGAGCTTACCGTTTCTCAGAATAAACTCAACTCAGGACAAGGTCTAGAGGGGTTAAATGACTGGTCTAAGATCCACAGCTAACGGGTGGCAGAACTAGAACTAAACCCGGGTCTCAAGGTCACCATCACTGGACTTTCTTCAATATAGCAGATTGCCTTCCCTCCTGTCTGAGACAAGCATCAAAAAAACAGACGCTGATTAAAGTCCTTCAGAGGTTTCCAATCAGGCTTGGTTTAAGTTCTCCAATTTAGAGCTTCCCCAATTTAGTGTTCCCTGTCTTATATTTTTGTTATTTCCCAACACACACTGTCATCCTTGGGAGAACCTAGATACTTTTATGTTTTGTACCTGTTGCCTTTTTTACTTAAAATATCCCCCAGTGCTCAGTCTGTACATATTACTTCATTTAAAATATCCACACAGTAGTCCTATAAAGTAGGTTTTACAGATACGGACTTTTCGAAGAACACATAGCTACTACATTTCATCCAGTTCTTTTTTATTTCAAAACCCATGTTCTGAACCACTCTTGTCTGCTGCCTCTGTTCTTCTGTCTATTGCAACTGTGGGTCTTGACAGTTACATGCACACTTGTAGACAGTGTCTCCCTCATTTGCCCTTTCTTACAGCCCAGCCCTTTGAGCTAAGCATTTTTACTTTCCCTATTTACAGTTGAATAAATGGAGGCTCAGAAAGGTGAAGTGACTTGCTTAAGGTCACACCACTCTTATAGCCTGTTCTGTATAATTCCCTGATTCTATATATTTCAGTTAATTATCTAAATATTTACTGAAGACTTACTTGAAGAGCATTAAACTGGATACTCTGGGAATTAAGATCGTTCATGAGTCGCTTCCTGTGTGTTCATGAATTACTTCCTGGGTGCTCATGAATTGCTTCCTCGTGTGTCTCCTCCAACCAGTATGAGACTCTAAACAGAACAGAGCTCGTCCTGTATTGCTCATCAGCCTCCCACAATGCTTAGTCTGACCTGGGATCCAGAATCAGTAAGTACACATTATT